AAACTTGGCTTAAAAACTCGAACAATTCTGGCGTTCTTTTAATCATCAGAAAATAACTAATGTAAGCTTTGATGAGAACGAGAAAAGTTAGCAGAAATCTTGCGTTTGATACACACATGATTATAGACTAAGTCTTTTTTTTATGGTTGTGTATGAAAATTTAGTTGGTCATGAACGTCTATGTGACCTTCTATGTTTATGTGAAGGTAATGCAGTGTGATGAGAAATCTAAAGAGTTAAGAAACAATTTGTGCTTGATATGTTTGGTATCATAAATAAAGACTAATATTTATATGCTTTTGTATGAAAATCTAGTTGGTTGATGAACTTTTGCATGAATTTCTGGTGTTTATGTGAAACTAATATAAGTCTAATAAGAAACAGTAAGCAAAAAACTCGAGCCTGAAACATATAAACTATAGATAAAATCTAATTTTTGTTTATGCTTGTGCGTAAACATTTAGTTGGTGATGGACCTCTATGTGAACTTTTAATGTTTATGTTAAGATAATATAGTGTGTTGAGAAATCTAAGACTTTAGTAGCAATCTCGGGCTTGATACATGTAGTACCATAGAGTCAAATGTGTATATGCTCTATATAAAGGTTTTAGTTGTTGACGAGCTTCTGTCAATTTTGCTCTTTGATTCGGTATTGTTTATGACTATGAGAAATCCTAAGAGTTAGTAGCTTGTACTTGCTACATGATCTTAAGCTACTCACTTAACTTTTTCTTGTTACTTACCTTGCGCTCAACTCCTTTTACATTAGTCATTGAAATGAATGCATGATGATGCTCTTTTTCTTGTTTGTGTATCTTCATTGAGGTTGGGGATATTGTTAAGTATTATTCACACACAAAAATTATTTGCTAATGAATAATTATTGCAACAAAATAATAAATAATCTTATTCCAATTTCACATGGATATCATCAGGGATGGATTCGGAAAAATGTTCTTGTGGGGCACAAAATCAATTATGCATAACATTAATAATGTATTTAATATAGATTCTAGTAATTAAAAAACTCATCTATAATAGTCACGAAAACATCAACACACAATACTTTTCACTATTTTTTTAATATCCATACATGATTGTTTTCATTTTCACCATAAAAAGTAACAAAAAACCACAAAGCTCCAGCGATAATCCTTTATAGTTGTTCTTGATGTGGTCTCGTGTTTTGATACCTTGGTATGATTTTCTCATTTTCTACATTATTAAATACGTAATTTTCCAATATGCATAACTAAACAATCATTTAACCATTCATCTCCCATATGATTGCACTTTTGATTCCTTATAACTTACATGGCTGAGAAAGTTCTTTCTATAATTGTAGTTGCAACCGGTAATATCAATGCTAACTTCATAAGTAGATATACCAACGGATATGCAGCATGCTTCTTTGTTTCGACCAACTGTTTGCAAAGATCACGAATTCCCTTAAATTTTGAAAATCTCTCATCTAGTGAACATCTATAATATAATTCTCAAGCTGATTTTGAAGCACTAGAAGTTTAATCCAAGGAAAGTCGTATGGATAAAATTGAGCATACTGAACAAGTCTTTCCTTATTAAAATCAGTGAACAAGTCTCTTGGGCTCAAGCATGCCACACAAAGAAGTAACTCGGTAGTTGTCTCTGCAAAGCGATTATTAAGCTCTTGAAGCTATCTATCAATCACTTGATAATACTAGTGTAATGAAAGTACTCTAAAGGGGGTGAATAGGAAAATATACTAATCTAATCCGATATTAATGCTAAATTAAAACTTATTAACAAAATCCTAGCAAGTATGATATATAATGAGATATATGCAAGGATATGTAATTGACACAAGGGTGAAATAAATATGAAAAAATATAAACAAGATAGTGAGCAAATAACCAAAGCAAACACAAGAAAATGATCACAGAGTTCGGTCCTTCCGACCTACGCCTCTGTTCCCCACTCCCGGGGAGAATCCACTATCACAACGGGTTTTTAACGTTCACCCAAAACGTTTATACCTCACAATCTCGGTTTTTTAGCTCACCAAAAATTTACACAACTCACACTCTTGTAATCACACTCTACACCCTCTAAGTGTTGGTCTCTAGCCCGTGTCGCTTTCCTCAAGTGTTCGAAATTACCATCTCTCTCTAGGCTTTACTACCGACTCCACTCCTCTTGGAATCGACCATGTCTCTCACCACACACTCCTCTCGATGTATAAGTGTATTACAAAGTGATCTCACAAATTAGGCTCAATAAAAAGATTTGTTCTCTACAATAGATGAGAACGAATTGCAAGCTCACACTCTAAGTAACACAATCTCACAACCCCAAATATGTTATGTGTGAAATACTAAAACCTCAATAGGCTGTATGTGTAAACAAAGAGTAAAATCAAATATAAACTCAATTTAATCTAGCAAATATAACTATGACAAATTAAGCATAAACAAGCTAGATAATGAGTTTATGAAAACTTCTCTAAAACAAGAGTGGATGGATGTAGACTGAAGCCCAAACAAGAATGGATAATCTTCTCTTCCTCTTGTGAAAATTTCTTCACAAAACAAACTTGAAACAAAACTTAAAATAAACTTTTAAACCATTGTAAAACATGACTAATTAAAACTCTCTTGGATAATTGAAATAGTTATGACAAAAGGGTATATATAGAGTGGAAGAAACCAACCCAAGAAAACACCAAAAACCCATAAAAACAATAAAATAAATAAAATCTAGAAGCTAGTCGTTACTCTGCAACGACTAGTTTATAAGTTGACTTATAAGTTGACTTGTATGATATAAGTCGACTTATATGAGCTGCAAGTCGACTTTACAGATGAAAACAACAAACTGCACAATAAATTATAAGTTGACTTATAAGTCGACTTATCATAAGTCAACTTGCTAGGTATATAAGTCGACTCAGTAGATAAAAACTGTAATTTCCAGAGCAGATCATAAGTTGACTTACAGTGCTTATAAGTCGACTCATGAACGTGCACAGACACTGTCCATGTATGAAATCTGATTTTTAAAGTATTTTTAAAAATAGCAAATAAATTCTAAAAAAATATAAAACTTTGCTAAATGATTATATACATGATAATGAGCATGTTACAATTTTTTTTCAAATTGCACTTCCTAATATAAAATCTCATCATTTTGCAAAAACACTCAAATGCTTGTTTGTATAAACACTTGATTTTGATTTTTGATTTTTGACTTAAACTAAAGTTTGTAAACTTTTATATAGCTTTATAGACTTCGAAAAAGATATAAAATAGTATTATCAAGTCTATAAATCAAGAACACAATGTTTTATCAAAAATACATATATTATGATATCTTTCAAAATAATAAACATGATTTCAAAACTTGATTTTACTGAAATCATATCAAGCACATATAAACATGAAAATATATTTGTATATGTGTATTGAGTTTTCATGTTTATGTGGCTAAACACATTATCAAAACAAAATCGATAAATAGGAAACTAGTATATATGTATATGTATATAACTAATAGTTTCATATTTATACGATTTAAACTTGAAAATGAAAACCAATGAAAACGAAAGTAATATGTGTGTATAGTTTGAGCTCTAAGTATCAATACACAAAGTATAGACCTAAACTAATATACCAAGCAATGATCTTCATGATGCTCGATGTTGGTAACATGGATGAAGCTTGATCTTAAATCTTTGACTTGAATGTATTAGCTTCAATCCATGTTCCTTCCATCCTCCAATGGATATGATCGTGTAAACGCAAATCCAACCAACCTCCAACCTCGATATTTGTCTAGAATCCTTATTAAACAAATACATTCACTAGACAAATGATGTTAGGAATTGTTTATAATCATCAAATCAAGATTAGGGAGTAGACTCATAAATATAAAGTCAACATGTAATGCATGTGCTTTGCACGTGAAT